CCTCTCTCTCTCTCTCTCTCTCTCTCTACACGGGGAAAGACGGCTCATCCTTGAACCAGGAGTTTCTTCCTCGCTCTCTCTCTCTCTCCTCTCAACAGGCTACAACTACGTTATCTTGTAACCACTTCTCCATCGTTTTGCTTGGGTCTCTCTTTCTCTCTCTAGCCATGGAGATGCTTGATATTCAAAGTATTAGCTCCATTGAGTGGAAGCCCTCTCCTGTAGTGGCACTTGCAACTTGCACAGATAAGTCACAGGTTGCAGTGGCTCGTGGTGATCGCTCTCTCGAGATTTGGCTTGTTGCTTCGGGGGCAGTGGGCTGGCATTGTCAACTGGTAACTTTTGCCCTATTTCTTCCTATTTCTTAATCTTAGCTAATCTTTCTTTTTCTACAGAAGAAATTGGGTGGGAATGGGGTTTTAGGGATTTGTAGAGAGAGGACAATACAGGTGGGAATGGGGTTTTAGGGATTTGTAGAGAGAGGAAAATACTGGTGGGAATGGGGTTTTAGGGATATGTAGAGAGAGGAGAATACAGGGAGAAAAGGCTTCTTTGGTTGAAGGTTTTTTATTTTTGCAGACAATACAAGGGAAGCCTGGTTCAACAATTTCTTCGCTTGTGTGGTGTTGTTCGGGTTCAAAATCGACGATGCCTGGTCGCTTGTTCTCGTCAAGCATTGATGGATCCATTTCAGAGTGGGATCTTTTCTCTCTAAAAGAAAAGGTATGGTTTCCTCTCGAAGAAGTGCCACAATTAACTTGAGTATATTTGGCTTGTTTGATGCACTCGCCTTGAGCTTGATTCATTCATTGGAAAACCCTTGGGTTTTGTTCATTTCTATGCTGATTATTTCCTATCACTTAGCTCTTTAAGCTCAAAGCAATGTTCAAGTGATTGAGTGGGCACTGGGCGTTGCTTCTCAGTGTGGAACTTACTGGTTGTTGCTGGCTCGTAGATTTGTCGGAAAGGTTCTTATGTTTTGCTTCTATAGTAAAGGGTTTTGCATAGCAATATTGACATGAGCATTGGGAAATTTTTTCCTGGTGTTTCAAATTGATCATAATAGGCGCCCTCATAGAATTTGTGAACATTTATGAATATCTATGAGTCGCCTTTATACAATATGGTTTATAGAGATGTACTTAAAGCATTTCATAAAACTGTCTAGGGGATGTAAGCCTTAACTTCTACTTCTATCGACACTTGTTTCGAAAACAAGGTTTTGATGTTAATAAAAGTTTGTGATACATAAAAGGCTCTTTCTTGATTGGATTTGCGCCTAGAGGACGTTTTTTGTTGTGGGCCTTGTGGCCCAATGACTGTTTGGTCATTCTTTGGGTATTTTGGTTTAGAAAGAAACATTAAGATATTATGATGGTGCTTTGAAATTCCAACCTAGTTGATATGAGTAGGATTGGTTCCTCGTTCCCCTATTTTAATTTTGGAGGGTCTTTGGTCATCCAGCATTTCATTGGTGTCAACGGTTAAATATGTGGTTATAGAAATGATGTGCATTTGATAGAGGCCATCATTTTTGATGCTAGACTAAATGATTTTCCCTTTTGTGTTTACTTACTTTTACGCCGTTTAAGTTTTTTGTTGCACGTCCTTTTTTCTTTGGATTCTTGTCGATTGGTTGTTTTTCCTAATTCTGGCTGATGTGGTCTTCTAGGCAATTTGTTTACTTCTAGGAGACCTTTTTACTTGTCCATTAGTAAATGGTGAGATTATGGAGCAAGTTGAACTCTGCGAGTACAACGAAGTGGGACATATAAATCAAGTATAAGAGAGAAGACCAGAGAGGAAAGAGTTTAATCAAAGTGGCCATCGGTAAGAAATGGTAAATGGCCTCAATGACCAGCGAGTTGAGTGCTACTCCGTACTTTTTGCACAAGCTTGAGGCATTCACCTCTATATGTAATGGCAAGTGCATTGAGTATCGTGGCAAAAGTAGACGACTTATGTTTTCATTTGCCAAAAAAGGAAAAAAAATGCAAGGAGAATGTTTGCCTTAGCTATTCATCCGGGGTATTGAGAAACTCTGCATGTCCACTGAATGATGGATCATTTTACTAGAAGCCTCTAGCATTTTCTTTAATGAATTTGTTCACCTATAGGGATGAGATTACTCTGAACCAGTTGGTTTGCGTTGAATTTATTTCATGCATGTTGGGTGGCTAGTCAATTTGTACAATTAGTGATGCAGTGAAGATGGAAAATAAATAAATAAACAAAATGATAATAAATAAATAAAATAAAAATAAAGGGTTGAGAGAATATACCCTTTCTCAGGGTCTTCAAGGGAGTCCATTCCAAAGATCGCTTCACAAGATCAAACAATTTCTTTCTCTAAAAACTGTGTTTCAAAAAACTTTAGGCGGCACTTAGGCAGCCTCGGGGAACCTGGGCGGTGCAGTAGAAAGAAAAATGTTCGTAGTCGAAGTGTCGAAGTTTAACAGTATAACTATATAACACATAATTCAAAATCCATATTTCCATGAATGAGGGGAATTTAGATAGTCCATGCAATGCTAGAACCATACAAGCATACACACAAGAGTTAGATAATAGATACTAGAAACTAAAAAAATAAGAAAAAGAAAATATGTAGAAAATATACAGTCTAAGACTCAATAGTCAACACCAAGAGTCAAGCGTCATTCTTCACTAGTCATCATCATCATCAAGAGGAGTAGGGTAAGCTTCATCATATGCATCAGATTTGAGGCCATCATCATCATAGTCATCACCCTCTTCAACATAACGCTTGTCCTCCTCTATTTTTTTTGAATCTGCCTCTTCCTCCTCTTCTTCTACCTCCCTCTTATTATGTATAGATGAGACCCTAGGAGTGTTGGCTGCTCTACCTGGTGCCTCTTCACTCTTTTCTTTCTGTTTGTACTCCTTGAACTCAAATATTATATAATCTCCCCCCTAATAGCTTTATGAACATTTTTACACGGGCAACATCCCCCTTAATACCGGCAAGGTGTTTCTTAAACCAATAAATGCCCCCATTAGTATCTTTTTCACAATAATTACACGTAATACGATTTTTGTCATTCGAATTTGGGTTATGACCATAATTCCAAGTCGGATCACCACTCCTAGAAGAACCTGGAGAAGATATTTTCATTGAACAAGGCTCATTTTCTTCCTTTTTGGGTTCTACTAAATTCAAATATTGTCTAATCTCATCCTGAATAGCTTCAAGAACCCGTTTACAAGAAGCAACATTCCCTTTAATACTGGCAAAGTGTTTCTTGAATCGGTTAATACCCCCATTGGTATCTTTTTCACAAAAATTATACCTTATACAATTTTTATCGTTTGGTTTCGGGTTAGAACCATACTTCCAACCCGGATCGCCTCTTCTAACTGAACAAAAAATAGACCTATCCAAATGACAATGATTTTGTTTCTGTTTGTGTTTTATTGAACTCATATATTGATTAATCTCTTCTCTAATAGCTTCAAGAACATTTTTACAAGGGGCAACATTCCCCCTAATATTGGCAAGCTGTTTTTTAAACCGGTTTATGTCCCTTTTTTGTATCTTTTTCACAATAATTGCATATTATGCAATTTTTATCAAAAGGATTCTGGTTATATCCATATTTTCAACCCGGATCACCAGTTCGACTAGATCCTGAAGAAGACATCTCAAAATAATGCAAGCAATCTAAAAAATAAAATTTTGCACTTGCTTTGATTGCCTGATCACCAAACTTCCACCTCTGAGATGTTTTTCAGTGCTAAAATCTTAAAAAATACCCTCTAATAGGCCTAAAAAACTTCAAAACTAAATCTAATCTTAATGGGTGATGTTTGGATTCATTCCCGTAACTTTGAGAAACGCTTTGATCCAATGAAAATCACAAAATCTAGTTTTCCGCCCTTGGGCGGGGGCGCATGCCCTAGGTAGCCGTCCGCTATCGCCTTGGGACAACCCGCCTAATTTGGCCGTCTAGGCCTAAGCGATGTGCCTAGGCCTTCTAGACCGCCTAGGCGCTGAATGATCCGCTTTTTAAACAATGAAAAATAATTAGTTCTCAAAAAGGGACCTTCCTCCCTTTCAATATAAACTAAAAAAGAAATAAGAATAAAATAAAATAAAATAAAACCCACAAAAAGACTCTCTATCATGTTTCTCTCTCTATCTCTTAGTCTCACATAATTCTCTATTTTCTTCTTCTCTCTTAACCTCACATAAATCCCATAGATCTCACCAATCGTAATCTTACCTATTTTCTCTCTAGCTTCCTTAACCCCTTCATCTTTTAAAATAAAATAAACTTTTTCAATTCTATCCCTGAGATCTTGATCATCAATAAAAGACATAGACACCCCTAAAGAAGATTAAAAACCCAATATAACCCCAAACTTAAAAATCTAGAAAGTAATTAAAGAAACCCATTGCATCCATCATAGGATATGTTTCTACTAGATGGTCTACTTCTGCGTTCTATACATTTTTGGAGATTCCCTTGTTCTTTGGCATATTATCAAAGCACAACATAAATGGAAATAGAGGTCATACTATTTCAAAAAAGAAATATAGGTCATGTGAATTAAGGTTAGTGAGACAATATGGCTGTAGACCATAGTTAGCAAGTCTATGTTTAAAACACAATTCTTTCAAAAAATCTCTGATTTTTTGAAATCCGTTAAGAACTCCGAGTTTTTCAAAAGATCTTTAAAAAATCATTTTTTTAATGAAACCGATATAAATCTGGATTTTATCTGTTTTCAAAAAACTTTTCAGAAAAACTTCTTCCCTATAGCTTTATATCTTCATTAACTTAATATTATTGAATTTTGGTTTAAAGATAAGTACATTAATAGTGGGAGTAAATTAAGAATCTTAATTTAACAAAAAATTCTATTTAAAATTTCACCATGAGTTCCCCTAAAAAAAGTGTCGAAAAAATACAAGCAATAAATTCCCCCAAAAAAGTAATCAAAACAATCATATATCTCAAAATACTAAGTAGAATAAGAAGAAGGGTAACCCAATGATTTTTTTCCTTTTTTTAAACCCATAGCGTCCTTATAAAGAGCAAGAAAGAGATTCAATGATACTAAAGATTTAGGTAGCTAGGAATTCAGTGTGAGATTCGAATTTGCTTAAGCATTGTGTTGCTTTTGTTCATGCATAGAGAAGTTTGATGAATTTCATATTGTATTTTTAATTTTTTATTTCATTGGTATATATAACATAGCAATTTGGATCGATCACTAGTTTACATATTTGGGTCTTTCCGTTTCTTTTAATTAACTGCAATCCTATTTTGACAGCGTTTTTTCCTTTGAAAAATAATCCTATACATTGTTTTATAGTTCTTGTTATTTGCTAATTAGTTATTGTGTTTAGTATTGATGTTGTTGTTTCATTTTATGCTCCCAGTAAATCTATGATATGTTTTGTGCTGTGACAACATTGAAAGATTGTTGCTGGATTTATTGAAAGTTTCAACAAATTTTTTTCTAAGTAGTACTCTGAATGACACTAGTAAGGCTATAAAATTATTGTTTAATGGCCTTAATGTATCTATGCAACAGCTGCAATCATAAATCCTATATTGTGTCATCTTTATATATCTGATTTTTTCACTGCATTTTTTAAACCAAATCCGAAATATTGACAAGTTTATAACTTACTTTATTTTTTGGCGATCCGAATTTGTGACCCAAGTTTTTCCTCCGATTTTTAAAATAATGTT